TGTCTGTCTGTCCGTCCGTCCGTCTGTCCGTCTATCTGTCCATCCGTCTGTCTCTGTGTGTGTGACTATCTATACATACATAGACATATGCTGCTTTTGGAAAATGAGTATGTCTCATAGAGACTGCTGAAATATTCTTTGCATAGTGATCTGTGATTGAGACAAATTTTGAACTATACTCTCCTTCAGTAATAATTAATAACAACAGAGTTCCTCTTTTTTAACCTTATCCTGTCAATTTCTCCAGTGGAGCAGGTCTATTGAGTTCTGACCTTCAGGCCTCCTGTTAGGGATTCCCAATCGCCTACAGCGTTCTTGCAGTTCTATCTGATCTGTCAACAGCTTTTAATACCAGCATTTGGGGGGATTCTGTTATCCTGTGAAATTTAATCTCACCTATTTAAGCTTGCAGAAAGTACTGGAGGGAATTATTAACAGATTTTTCCCCCTGCATCTTCTTAGAGGAGAGTGCTGAGTGATGGGCTGGTTCCCCTAAGGACTCACAGCTGAGAAGTGCTAGTTTGTCAGTAGCATCCTATTTAGCATGTGTGTGAGGCCACAAGGGAGCCTGGAAGACATGTGGAATCAGAATTACATCAATATGCTGATGAAGCCTCCCTATCTTCGTGGCATCAAACCTATATCCTTTAGCATTAATGCTTTCTTAACTAAGATGGAAAGCGCCTCCAAACAGCACACTGCTTATGGCTCTAATTAGACAGCTGAAAACCAAGCTGATGATGCATTAGAGTAGTAGACCAGCAATCTCAGCATCACCAAAGAATGGGTTGAAAATGCAAACGCTCAGGTCCAACCCAAACCTACTAAGAACTCTGGGGCGAGGGTGCCCAGCCTCCAGTACTTTGCTAGCTATCCAGGTGATTTTAGTATGTGCTGAAATTTCGATATTGCTCAATTAGGGAGATGGGATGTGTTTGTCACTGCAAAAATCTATTGGGCAGGTCCTTCTAGTTTTATAGGTTAAAAACACTCCTGGATCCAATCCTATTTTGTTGGTTATATCAACCATGACACAAATACACCTTCACAGACAATACCATCTGTATTTGTCATGAAAGAATGGGAAAACTTTATATTATTCTGTTTCTCCCTCTCCCAAATGAACATCAGACTGCAGTTTTAGATAGAAACATGTTTAAATACCCATATGGGAAAAAAACTGTATAATATGATCTCTTTTGATCTTCATTTATTTTAAAGAAATCTAAATGAGACTACAACTTGTCCAGGATAGAAAGTATGGAAGAAATTAGAAAAAGATACAAAAGAATTGGGTATACCAGATAATGCTGCGTATTAGTTAAAATATGTAGCTCACACCTATAATCCTAGCTACGCAGGTGACTGAGATCTGAGGATTGCAGTTCAAAGCCAGCCTGGCCATGAAAGTCCATGACACAATTATCTCCAATTAACCACCAGAAAACTGGAAGTGGCACTGTGACTGAAGTGGTAGAATTTTAGCCATGAGCTGAAGAGTGCAGGGACAATGCCCAAGGCCCAGAATTCAAATCCTACAACCGACCAATATACATATATATGTATATATGTGTATATATATATGTGTGTGTGTATATATATATAAATGTATATATATATATATATAGATATAGATATATTTGGCCTAGTGCTGTTTGCTCATACCTGTAATCCTAGCTACTCAGGAGGCTGAGATCTGAGGATTGCAATTCAAAGCCAGCCTGGGCAGGAAAGTTCCCAAGACTCTTATCTCAAATTAATCACCAAAAATGCCAGAAGTGGAGGTAGGCTCAAGTGGCAGAGCACCAAGCATGGACACAAAAGCCAAATGAGAGTATGACACTCTGAGTTCATGCCTCAGTACTGGCACTAGCAATGGCTGTGTGTGTGTGTGTGTGTGTGTGTGTGTGTGTGTGTGTGTGTGTGTGAATATCATCTCTTCAACCTCAATTTTGAAGGAGGTAGATGATACGTCATCATCAGCTCCACTCTTTTGACATCTTAGCTTCACTGGTGTTATGACAATATCTTTTTTAAAAATGTATTATTATTGTAAAGATACTGTACAGAGGGGTTACAGTTACATGAGCAAGATAATCAGTCCATTTCCTATGGAGCATTGTTACCCCCTCCTTTATATTTCTCCAATATCTTGAGCCCTCTTTGCAATGTCTGGGTATAAAACCAAATGAAGACCATGGGGAATAACATTAAAACCTCTCTTAATGCTGGTGTTCTCCAGTCCAGAAAAGGTGTAACTTACTCACCAGTGTCACAACTTTGAAATCTATGTAGAATCTGGTAATGCATTACTTATTATCCTTGTTTCCTACTAAAGAATTTTGTCTCAAATCATCAGATGAACCCTCCAGGGCCACTATGATATCCACCTAAGTTGGAATACTCTGGGGACATCTACTCTAGAAAACATTCATAATTATTTGTTGAATCATTTGCATATGACACTCATGTACTAGATAAGCAGAAAAAAGTTTCAGAGAGTAGACCATGGTCACACACTCACTCAGCTTATGGTCAAGTATTTCTAAGAATATGTAGAAATTTTGCTTCCTTTTTTTTTTTTTTTGGTCGGTACTGGGGCTTGAACTCTGGGCCTGAGCACTGTCCCTCAGCTCTTCAGCTCAAGGAGAGCACTCTACCACTTGAGCCACTTCACCACTTCCAGTTTTCTGGTGGTTTATTAGAGATAAGAGTCTCAGACTTTCCTGCCTGGGCTGGCTTTGAACCATGATCCTCAGATCTCAGCCTCCTTAGTAGCTAGGATTACAGGAGTAAGCCACTGGTGCCTGACAGAAATTTTGCTTAATAAAGAATAATTAAGAGATGTTTAATCTTTTGTTCTTTTCAACTTGTGTTTTACTAACCAACTGCAGGCATGTGACTTGCTTACCAATAACCCATTGTTTCCATTTTGTACCATAAGAATCCCAGCTCCTGAGTTCTGGAGTTTTTTTTTTCTTTTATTGAACTCTGCCTAGATTCAGGTTATTTCCTTCCTGCAATTCAGTCACATTGACCAGTAGTCTACTTTTTAATTAGTTGCTAACTAGCTGCCTTCTCTCTGACTCTAACACTCCCTGATTGAAACTACCCAGTAGTAATTTTGAAGTTTCCTGCAGATCTTGGTGATTCTCTGCTCAACATAATTTCAGAATCTCATCATCCACTGAGAATAAAAGGTAAGAGACATCTTCAAGTTAGCTGTCCACAGTGAGCTGGACCTAGAATGTTTATTGCTAGATGGCTGATTCTCTCAATTTCTGCTTTTCCACATTCAACAATCACCTCATCAGAGAGCCCTGACAGAACCGCCCAGTGAGAGATGGCAGATTCTTCCTTCTCATTCACTACCACCCCAACACACACACACACACACACACACACACACACACACACACACTCCGCTCATATGTTCCCATATAGATCAGTACCACTCTTCCAGAGAAGTAATTATCTTTCAATGTACTGCCGATGCAGCAATACTTTATTTATTAGGCTCTTCCTTCACTAAGTCGGAACTCCTTAAATCCTTGAGGTTTGATTTATGACTACATTCAAATTACTTAGAATAATGCCTGGTATACAATAGGTAGCTAATCAGGGTAGAGTAAATACATAAACACGTCTACCTTCTTATCCAGTCCCATTCTTTTGTGTGTTTCATGCAGAACAACAAAAAATATATATCCAGCAGTGATTTCTAGGGATCATTAGTAATAGAAGATCACTATGATACCAAGTGTAAAATAAGTTACTGTCACCATGTGAGGTGTTATAGTTTGGATTTGCAATGTCTTCCTGAAAGCTCTTGTATTGAAAATTTGGTTCCCAGCCAATGGTAAAACTCCCTTAATTCAATTAGGGCTGTTTTTGTTGAATTTATCAAATGACATTACTGCACTGATCAATGTCTATAGAAAAAAATATTTATGATTAGAAGACCACTTTGTTTTGGAGGGAAACAGAAGGTCTAAGAGGAAAGAATATGTAATTTAAACCCTTGCCATGAAATAGTGGTGACTGATAATTGAGTGAGATTAATTTGCTCTGTGGTTAATTTACCTGTGACAAATCACCTATTGACTACAACTATAAATCCTGCCTGGTACTGAAACTCCAAACATGTCCAGACATTCCACAGCAAATCAAATTCATAATACTGATGTGAATCAAATGAGCAATTTATCTTTCTCTGACTATATTTGGTTCTTGTTTTCAGAAGTCATATCCTTTGAAAGGCACTATCTTTCTCCAATAGCATTAGACGTTACAGCGCCTTGGCACATGTATCCAGCTGATACTTAACTCCACCTCTAGTCACCAGGTACCTGTCAGAAAGAAATGATTTTAAATCTGTCATTTTTAGTAAGTTGACTAATTATGAAAACGGATGCTCTAATGTTTACAGTGAGATCTAAAACAAACAACAACATGATAATCTCATTCAGTTTGTGTCACAGCATGATGAACTGAGAGTAGGAGTTAGCTCTGTGTGTATGTGTATGTGTGTGTGTGTGTGTGTGTGTACATGTGTGAGGCAACTTGTAAATCTGACTCAGTAGAAAATCCAGACTGCTTCTAACCACCACATTCCTTGAATACCCACACATTGTGTGAAAAATCCCTTTTGTTCGGGATATGGAAGACAACACATTCACTATTCTCCTTACATAGGATACATAGTAAAAGACAGAGCAAAATAAAAGAAAGCTCTTGTGATTGGGACAAAAATAAATTCCTAATTTTATCTGAATCTGTCTTAAAAACATTTTCCCCCTTTTTCCTTGGATGGTCTGAGTTAGATGAAAAACTATTAGGGAGCCTAAAATTTAATTTTCTTTTTTTTTCCTTTTTCTTTAAGCTGGCAATTGCCAGGATAGCCTAATGATTTAAATGAAGGGTCTGCACATTAACAGCTCCACTGCCTAGAAAAATCTGCTGGATTCCCGCTCCCTCTTATCCGTGGGTTTCTCCTTTACCTCCTCCGGGACAGCTCTGATATTAACAAAGCCTTTTCTGAAGGCAATGAACACGCGCCGGGCCCCGCAGCGGAGGGCGGAGGTAGCACAGTCAAAAGCAGTGTCTCCGGCGCCCAGCACAATCACGGCTCCCTGGATGGACGGCATTGGAGAGTGACAGGCGCACATCCCTGAATGATGAAAGGAAAACCCCATTTTCAAGTAGAGAAACCATTTCTGCATGACAGCTCAAAAGATACTTGGACTCAAAGCAGTGTAAAATTGCATCTTACCGTTTTCCAGGATGGAGTGTCACTATCAAATTATTCTGCTTCATTGAGAGACAGTTTTATTCCCATTTGAAAAATATGCTCATATATGTAATTTCCTAGCCAGTACTTTGAACTTCCTATTTTTTCCCCCTTTCTCGAAGCAGTGTGACAACGTAGTCTGTGTGAAGGGTTGAGGCCATAGAAAAGTGCGATGAATCAATTAAGATTCAGTCAAGGCCAAGAGGTCACTCCACGTGGACATCATTAAATTAGTATTTGCTAGGTGACTGGATTACTAGTTGGCAGGATTCTGTTAAAATCTACACTTAACTCCGGCAATGTCTAACATAAAGCTGTACTCAATATTACATAAAGTCAAACTTTGTAAATAAGCACGCCTACTAAGGGTCCTTAGTGTAAGTGTAATTGAAGAGTTCCTGAGAAGTACCTTCTTGAAATGCTGAAAATAAAACTTTCTCCCCTTTCTCAGGTTTTGTCTACAACACCGGGAAATACAAGAAACAGGTCTTGCAAAGGGTCCATTTCTCTGAGGGAACTAGGTGAAGATTTGGTAGTCCAATGAAAGTCCTTGTCTAAAAGGAAAATGCAGGTGTCCCAATATATTAGATAGCACCGTATTATCAGATTAAGTAAAACTGTTGATAAGATAAATGACTATCATTTTAGGAAATGGCACCATGGATAGAATGGACCTATAATCTTCATAAAGATTATCATCATGTGTGTAAGATTTGGGGTTTAGCATTAGACAATTGGCACTCTGGAATGCTCAGTAGCTGCTCAGTGCCCCCTGACCTTCCAACAAAGGGGGTGCAGCTACATAGCCTCCAGCTCTCTGGGGAGGAGGAACACAGAGATAGCATGGACCTTCAACTATTAACTTTTGCATAGTGACACAATGTCAAATAGTTCTTGACTTTTTAAATATTGTGGGGAAAGTGGGTTTTCTTTTTAAATAATTTCTACAGTAATATGTAAGAAGAACTATTCTTCAGGTTTCTTAAAAATAAATGTTCAGGGCTGGGAAGGTGGCTCAGCGGTAGAGCGGTTGCCTTGCATGCTCAAGGCCCTGGGTTCGATTTCTCAGCACCACATAAGCAAAAAGAAAAAAGCCGGAAGTGGCGCTGTGGCTCAAGTGGTAGAGCACTAGCCTTGAGCTGAAGAGCTGAGGGACAGCGCCCAGGCCCAGAGTTCAGGCCCCACGACCGGACCCAAAAAAAATAAATAAATAAATGTTCAATGGGAAGGTGGCTCAGTGGTAAGAGTGCTTGCCTAGCATGCATGAGGCCCTGGGTTCCATTCCTCAGCACCAGCTGGAAGTGGCTCAAGTGGTAGAGCTCTAGCCTTGAGTTGAAGAGCTGAGGGACAGTGCCTAGGCCCAGAGTTCAGGCCCCATGACCGACAACAATAAAAAAAAAAAGTACATGTTCAAAAGCTTTGGATAATCTAGTTTTAGGGGAAAAAAAGCTACAGTTTATTCATCACTAAGGCAATGACTGCAATCTCTAGTCAGCCAAACCATACTATACTGTGAGCTTTGAATCATGCTTGGAGTAACAGGGTGTCAGTCAAAGTGCTTTGACTTTATAAAATTACTATTCAGGAAGAGATCTTGATCTTTCTGTCTGGGTGAATATAACCCAAGGAAGATATGTAAAAATTCATCTCATCTCAAAAATAGTTCCCAAACTTCCTAACATTTCTATTAAGAACATCTCCCAATGTTTTTTTAAAGCTATTTTACTTTGATGTAATTTTTCATGACACAATTTAGATGGCATGTAACACAATAAGAGGTCCTTATTCTGATGCCTTCTTGGAAGAATGAACAAATAGACAATTCTGGAAAACTGTGATGCCAGGCTTTTACATTTTTAAAAATATATATTGGGATTATCTATTCCACAACACAATCTAAGATCTAAAGTGATGTCCTGCTGAGCTGAAATTTAATATAAGTTCATAATACAAGAGCAAACATAGACAATGTTAAGTTCAGAAAACAATAGGTTATACCTGCTTTGCTGCCTTTGGCCACAAGTGGCAAAAAGTCTTTGGATGTATAGAATCCATGGTCTGATGTCAGTCCTTGAAAGATACTATCTTTATTGGGTTCTGGCAAACCTATGGAACAAAGTTCATAATACAACATTAGTATAGCCTTTCTCACTGCTAACTTTTTTTTTTTTAAATCTACCATAGGACTGGGAATCTGGCTCAGCGGTAGAGTGCTTGCCTCACATGCATGAGGCCCTGGGTTCAATTTCTCAGCACCATATAAGCAGATAAAAGCCGGAAATGGTGCTGTGTCTCAAGTGGTAGGGTGTTAGCCTTGAGCTAAAGAGCTGAGAGACAGTGCCCAGGCTCAGAATTCAGGCCCCACAACTGACAAAAAATTAAATTAAATTAAAAAATCTACCATCTTTGAAATAATGTGGCCATTAAAAAATATATGGATATATATTATATATAAGCAGACCAACATAATGAAATAAAATAGAATATATTTCTAATATAGAATAATAGAATATATTTCTAATATATAACAAAGTATATTTCATCAAGTCATACATTAACCTGCATATACACATACAGAGAAATACATTTGGCACACATTCATATAAACATAACATACATAACATTAATAGAAAAATTGGGTTACATTCCTCCTTCATTATATAAACTAATATAAGTTTGAAGTCCTGTAAGGTGTTACATATTAAAGATCCATAACAATACTAAAAGAAAATATGGATATATATTTCTCATATTTATAAGAAAAATCATTCTTGGGGGGGAATGTGGAGGGGTGGGGAGAAGGAAGGGAAGGGGTAGCAATGATGGACAAGTGATGTACTCACTGCCTTACTCATGCAACTGTAACCCCTCTGTACATGTTTACAATAAAATTTGAAAAAAATTCATTCTAAGGAAAAAAAATGGAGTAAACAATCTCAAAGAAACTCATTTATCTCCTCCAAAATATTCAGCCCCTCCTGGTCTTCAAATATATGAATACTTCTGAGGGAAATAATTCCAGAAAACTATTTTTAAAAGTCTAAATCATGCAAAAAGTTTCACAATATCAATAAAAAATTACCTTCCTGGTAGATATATAAAAGATAATAAAGTCAGAAGAAGAAAACGTACAAAGAATTTATGATTATTAAATGTTTACTTTAGCAGTGATTAAAGAAATACAAATGTAAGAGCTCCAGTAGTCAAGCACAGCACTAAATCTAATCTCAATGACAAACCAAAAAAGTAAATTATAAAACATAGCCAGGAGCCAGTGGCTCACGCCTGTAATTCTAGCTACTCAGGAGGCTGAGATCTGAGGATCGAAGTTCCAAGCCAGTCTGGGCAGGAAAGGCCGTGAGACTTTTATCGCCAATAAATGATGATAAGGGGAAACAAAGGAGGAGGCAACAATGCTTGATAGGAAATGTACTATTACTTTGCTCATGTAATTATAACCCCTCTGTATGGTATTTTCACAATTAAATAAATAAATAAAGGACTCAGAAAACCGGAAGTGGCACTGTGGCTAAAGTGGTAGAGCACTAGCCTCGAGCTCAAGAGCTGAGGGACAGCACCCAGGCCAAGAGTTCAAGCCCCATAACCAACAATAACAACAACAAAAACCCCAAACCATAATTTCCTTATTAAAAACTAAACAATGTAAGAAAATCAAACTAAGTAGTATAGGTACAAATGGAGCTTCTTAGACTCGCTGCTAGTAGAAATTCACATTGGTGCTCAAATTCTAAAAGCAGTTTTGAATATGTCCTAAGTATTTACAAAAACATACAAAAGCAGTTACCATACAAATATGATTTATTCCAAAAAGGCACGGGAGGATAAGTGAACACAAGAAAATAAAAGAAGCAAATACATGACTTTCATTTCCAAGAAGAAAAAAATAATAATTAAGTAGTAGGATGCAAAACATCTGTGTATCTGTGTAATTCAAATTACGTATACACATATAAACTAAAAATCTATGTATCCTATAGTTCAACTTATATATAAATACATGTATTAACTAATCTATACTGATTTTGTGTGATTGTGGGATTGGGAATATTCTATTTTTTAATTATTCCATTATTTTCCAAATTTGCTATGACATCCATCCACCACAATATATTTAGTAAGTAAATATTAAAATTGTAAAAAAGAAAATTAACAACAATCTCATGTTGTTTTATAAGCATAAACAAACAACATAGTACAACAATAGTTCCATTTTACAAAAGAAGAAATAATGTACGAAATAATATAGGGGAAATACATAGTTTAATTTTATTTACTGTTTGAAACACACCTTACCAATGGCTCTATCTAGAGAGTTAGAAGTTCTTTTATAATTGTGCTGCCAGAGAACACAGAGAGAGAGGAATAAGCATGCCAAGGAATTTTGTCATGTGAGGTAAATATATAATCTGACTGGCCAAAGTTACTTATGTAGAATCAGCCATGAACCATGGTTGTCTTTCAAATTAAATAAAATATTTCTATTTCTGTTTAGCACCCAGGAGATTTGCTTATAAGTTATTTTAAGAGAATTTTATGATTATGATATCATTTTTCTAGGGAGATTAGGCAAAGCTAGGCAAGTCACTTGACATGTCACTGGCCTTCTCTCTGATAGGAGAATAACACTTGATTTCCTGAAAAGGAATATGTCTTAGGTTATTTTATTTTATTGTAAAGATGCTGTACAGAGGGGTTACAGTTACCTGAGTAAGGTAACGCTTACATTTCTTGTCGAACATTGTTACCCCTTCCTTTGATTTTCCCCTACTATACCTTCCCTCCTTATCCCCCATCAGAAGTTGTAAAGTTCATTTCCAACATAGTGTCTTGTGAGTGCTGCAATGGGTCATACTGTGACCTTGTTTCAGCATTTTGTTATTCCCTTTCCCCTCCCCAAATTAGATAAGTGTATATACAAGATACAGGGTACAAAATCAACACAGGATACACCATAGGGGAAGAACATACAAAAGAAACAAAAAAAATCACATAGTACATTAAAAACATCAACAACAGAGAAAAACCTCTTGTGTCCATATCTTAAAGTTCATTTCATTTAGCATCATCTTAAATGGAGATATGGACATAGCTTTTGAGCTTTTCTGCTCATCTGATAAGATTATCCTAGATGTATACTAGTTATTGCAAATAAGGGAAACCAGGGGACCTGTATTTCTTCGGGTCTGACTTACTTCACTTAATATGTTTTTTTTTCCAAATTGTGGGATATATGAAAGCTAAAACAATTTCTCCTGAATGCTCTCAACGAGGGCTGTATTTGAAGTTATTCTTGATTAATCAAACCGACACACACACATAGGGTACACAGGTCTTAAACAAACATCTAAATCTAGCAAAGAATACTTTCTATGCCACTTCACTTTCATGTTAAACAAAAACAGAAACAAGTAGAAATGAGATCTACTTTCAAGGTGATATGCTAAACAAGAGCTTTTAAAGCAGACCAAAAACAAGGTCCAGAACTGTAAGTGGGAGAGAAAATTTCTACAGATATTAGCAATCAGGTCTACAATCCTTCCTTTTCCAAATCCTAATCTGAGCTGTTACTTGTATGGCTCACCTAAAGCAAATGCTTTATGCTTACAATGATTTGTTATACCTACCTCTAAAACAACTTATCTAAAAAAGTAGAATGTCTTCATTGTAAAGTCTTTCTACCCAGAGAAGTGATTTCTTTTCTTTTTCTGCAAGAATTATTCGTGGAAGAAAAAAAAAGGCATTGCTGAAATTTATATTCAGTTTTTTCCACTTAGAAGAAGACATTGCCAAAGACAGCTGGGTTGTCTGCGCTTTCATTCCACCCACTCTACATCTGTCATTGTAATGAACTTAACATTTATTGGGTCAGACTGTCCCCTTAAATGTTTGCGGCCACTGGTTAGATGTTCTGACTTATGGATGTTATGTTAAGTAGAGGAAAAATGAGCCAGACACTGGACAGGCGCAATATAAATTATCCTGCAGTCTGCATAGCCACATCCCAGGTAATACAAACACAGACCAGAGACTACTGGAGCTCTGCTCCTTTGCTCTTTGGCACGTCATTACCTTATGCCCTTGGACAGCACATTTGGTAGATCGTTGATGCTGTGGGGTGCTCAATAACAAGGTCTTGGTCAGCAGAAAGACTGAAGTGAGTTCTTCCTCTCCCACTGGGTAGCTCTGAGCTCATATATAAGTTCTTAGGATGGTAAATTTTGTGGGGCAATTGGTTAAGCTATTGAATCAAAGACTGATGTAGGTATAAAGTTGCAGTTAGATCTATAATTGATTTTATCTAAAGATTATCTTAACAATGTGGGTGGGCCTTATCGGATTGGCCAAAATGCCTAAAGAATAAAACTCTGTTTGAGAAAGAAGTTATTTCAAGACTCTGTCATCAACTCCTACCTGAAAGTTCCCAATCTTCTGGCTTGCTACCGATTTTAGACTTTTCATCTCACAATATTATCCAATTTCCTAAAATCAATGAACTATCATCTCTCTATCATCCATCCATCCATCCATCTACCCATCTGCCCTTCCATCATATTGGCTCTTTTTTTCAGAGATCCTTAAATTGAGTTCCTAATCTCTCTCATATTCCTGTACTTTTATTCAGAACTACAGATACACTAATGGCACATGTGAAGGATGGAGTAGGTGTGTTTGTGTATGTATGTGCTGACACCAAGCACATGATGAAGGCACAGTGAACACATATTTATTCCTCAGTTTCCCAATTCTTTCAAACATCACATCTCTTGGCAAGGAAAGAATAAAGCTGAAATCAAAGCCAATTATTGAGTCCCAATAAGTTTGTCAAGTTTTACCAAGAAAGAAAATTGTGGCAACTTTTAGGGAATTATGAAAGACAATGAAACTTGACAATATCTAGATGGCAAAGGAAGACTTCCCCGGGAATAAAGTGAATATTGAAAAATACAAGGTTTGTATCTATACCAGGATGACTTAAAAATGACACTGAAATAACTTTTTAGGCCACCTTTCAGTAGAAAGGAGGGAGCTGTCAAATAGAAGAATGAACTGTCAAAGACTTGACTAACAAAGAGGTCCATACTGTA